TAGAATCACAGAGGTGGGGGACTGAGCCCAGCACTGGCGCCTCCAGCTGCGTGACAGTGGGCGGGTCACTTAAATTCTCTGGACTTGTTTGTAAACGGGAGTGCTGCTACCTAGCCCATCAAGCGCCCAGGGCATATCACGAAGTCCCGAAGCACACAGAATGAGGAGTGGCCTGGGCAGACCCTCAGCTCTTGAGCTGCTGTCCCTGGTGACTGTTGCTTACTGAACATGAACACATGCCAGCCTGGGCCCTGCAACCATCTTCTGAGGCCGACATTAGGTCCATTTTACAGATAGGGAAACCCACATCAGAAGTGCTTAAGGGCGAGCCAGGCTCGGTGGCTCCGCCTGTAATCCCAGTGCTTTGGGAGGCTGAGCCTGCGGGTTTGAGACCCACCTGGGCAACTTGGCGAGACCTCATCTCTACATTAAATCAAAAAATTACATGCCTGTAATTCCGGCTACTTGGAAGGCTGAGGCAGAAGGATCGCCGGAGTCCAGTAGGTCAAGGCTGCGGTGGCCGGGAGCGGCCACTGCACTCCAGTCTGGACGACAGAGTGAGACTCCAACTCAAAAAAAAAAAAAAAAGAAGTGCTTAAGGGCTTTGCTTGGGGCCACAGCTCCCATGTCAAATGCCTCCAGAGGGCTGGAGGGGTCAGGAAGAAAGCACAGGCCACTGTTGTCATTGAGATGTGGCGCTAACCCGGGCCACATGCCTTGGGAGACGAACACTACACCAAAACACAAACACACGCCTTCAGCCTCCCCAGGATTTTTTGGTTTGGTTTTGACTCTCCTGGAAGACACCCAGAGAAAGGGGAACCGAGACTGCCTGACTCCTGCCCTCCCACGGTGACATCGACTGCAGACCATAGCTGCAATAGCAGCCAGGAATGCTGTCTCACTTAGCTCTCTGTCCTTCTGAGAAAACACATCCAGCGGCTTCCTGGCTGCCAGCAAACTCTGCCTGTTTCCTCAGCTTCCCTCTGAAATAGCTTAAAACAACCTTTGCAGCCCCTGGGTTGGCCTTTCTCACTCACTGCTGAGAAAATATCAGGATGTTTATTGTTCTGAGAAGAAGAAAATAGAACTAAACGTAGACTCATGTTCTTACGATAAAATCTAAGTGCCTCACAATAGCCCACCCACCCCCCACAATCCGGCCTCCCTCCCCCTACCGTGTCACCTCCTTTTTATCTCTGCCTCTCCCACCTTGCTGGCTGGTCACATCACTCAGGTCAGGCTCAAAGGGCACCTCCTCAGAGAAGCCTTCCCTGACCACCTTGCTAGCGGGGACCTCCCCCACAGTGGCCAGCTGCAGCTTCTTGCAGTACATAGCCCGATCCGACTCTGGGAGGACCTTGTGCAGATGCACACCACCATCTGTGCCATCCACTGGACAAAGGACCCACGGGAACATGTCTGTACAGTGCAAATCCTTGACAGCTAGACCTGGGCCAGGTGCATAGTGGGTGTTTTGGGAAGGGAGGGAGGAAGGGAGGCCGCTCTTTAAACGAGGAAAGATCTTGAACTGCAATGTGGTGCAGTCTGGAACGTGCTAGAACCATGACTGGGATGTCCCTCCAGAGGGACTTGCAGCATGCTACGAACATGCTGAGAGTTAGACATCTGACCCCAGCCAGTCCTATGGCTGTGATTTGAAGGGTTCTTGCCGGGTGCAGTGGCTCAAGTTTGTAATCCCAGCACTTTGGGAGACTGAGGTGAGAGGATTGCTTAAGCCCAGGGGTTCGAGACCAGCCTGGGCAACTTAGTGAGACCTCGTCTCTAGTAAGTCAAAAAAATAAGCCAAGCAGAGTAGCACACGCCTGTAGTTCCAGCTTCTTGGAAGGTTGAGGCAGAAGGATCACTTGAGTCTAGCAGGTTGAGGCTGCAATGGTCATGAGCATGCCACTGCACTCCAGCTTGGGTGACAGAGTGAGACTCCAACCCCAAAAAAAGAAGGGGTCTCAGGGCACTCCAAGAAGAAGCCTATGTGTGGGTTTCCAAAACAACTTGGCCCCCAGGACGGCCAGGTCCCCAGGCTAGCTCGAAAGCCCTGGTTAACCTTAATGAACTAAAGCATACTTCAGTAGGCTGGCCTTGGAACCAACCACCAGTGATGTTTTTAGGGGGGGAAAGCATCCTGAGCCCGGCGCCTGCTTGCAAGTCAGAGGGGGCTGAATTGGGGCTGATACCCCCATTTCACAGAACTGAACCAAGGAAACTGAACCAAGAAACACAGCCAAGACTGCCCAGCTGGTGAATGGCAGAGCTGCAATTTGAACCTGGGTCAAATCCCGGGGTGCCATCTGCATCTGTTCGCTACTGTCGTCTGTCCAGGCCACAGAGAGTGGCAGGTCTCTCAGCCCTGCACCTCGCTCATACCTCTGGAGACGTGCTCCCCTTGGTCAGCCTGGGCAAGGGGCCTGGGAGCATGGAGTGCCAGGACCCACGGTGAGCTCCGCCAGTGTCTTTTCAGGCCCAAAGAGCACCCTTAGAGTTGAACAGTATTACCTTGCCTGAGCTTGTCTCATGGGCCCTGGCTGTGATATGGTGGCTCCTCCATTCTGGCCCGAGCCTGTCCCGCCCTATTCCCCGCCATTAGAGGACCCAAGAACAGGTGGGGGGGAGAAGGCACCTGAGGAGTTGCGACTGGAGCCCTCTCACCTCTGCCTAGGTTCTCATTTCCACATAGCCTGTCAAATCAGTGCCTGGTGACCACCGGACAGAGATAGCCAAGACGCAGTCCTGGGTCTTTAAAACCTCACTCTAGGGGGGAGGGGATGGAGATGGAGAGAGATGCCCTGGGAACTCAGTCCTCTTGTTCCATCTCAGTGACTGATGCCAAACCTCGGGAGTCTAAGGACTGCAGAATAGTTTACAAGCTACAAAATTGCCTTGGGAACAATGGCTTTTCTTTGAAGGTGACAGCTTCCACCTGACACTTATCACTTGCTGTCACTTCCTGATGGCAAATGTTCAGGAAGAGGATTGTGCGGGAGGGTTCTTTGTAGCCGGGGCCCTTGTCTGTCTGCCCAGTCGGATATGAGGATGGCAGAGGCTGAGGGGCCTTCTGTTACTGGGCCAGGCTAGGACTGTCGCCCCAGCTCTTGAACCAGCTGCAGAGCAGGCAGCGGCCAGTCAGTGGCCAGCCGATGGTGAGGTCAGGTGTGGACGAGAGTCCTTGGATGGGGTGGGTGGGTCTGTTCACGGCCCTTGGCTTCCTCCACCCCACACGAGAGCCACAGTTGGTAGGGGGCTCAGGCTGACCGCCCGTGGTGGGAGCTGGTCCCCAAAGCACCCCTGAGCTGTGCCTGGGGCTGGGCCCCTCTCAGTTCAGGCACAGAAGCCCAGGCTCCCACATACCTTGGTCCTCTCCCTCCTCTCAAGACTTGGGCACGCATGCCGGTCTTTGGAGACTCCTTTTCCAAAGCTATGGGGCTACCTGGCCCAGCCAGAGGGAAGAAGGTCATGGACAGGCCCAGAAACCTTTTCACAAAGACTCAAAGGGAGCCTCAGGACAACTGCTTTATTCTGAGTGTCCTCGGAGGGCAGGCCCTGGACCAAGGAGTGGACGTGGAGGAAGAGTTTGCCTCGAGTGATAGATAAGGAGAAACTTTCAGCAACAAGAAGGGCTGCCCAGCAGGTAGTGGGCTGTGGTCCCCAAAGTGTCCAATCTGTCAGAGACTGGCCATCTCGATGTCTGAGGGTGCAGACCCTGGAGAGACAGTTCCTGTCCTGGGGGAAAGCAGCTCTCGGACCTCCTACTGCTCAGAGCTTCTAACACTCTCAACCTCAGTGACAGAGTCCTCAGTCTCACAATTCTTCCTTAGGAGACCTTATGCATTTTTAGAGGGTCACAGGTCGTGTGAATGGCCACTGGGAGAGACAGTGCATTATTCCATTTAAACTTGTGTCGATGCCCCCAGGCAAGAAGCCAGACCCCTACGACGGGCATAAGCACAGGGGCTCCTTCCAGCGCGGCTCTGGGTGACCCAGTGACACCCACGCAGTCCATGCACAGTATTTGGCAAACAGTGTCTGCCGCACGTAAAGCTCTTCTGGCTGATGTCCAGATTCCCGTGCAACTTCCTCTCGCAAAGCCCCGGCCCCTCTAACTTTCCCCAAAACATCTAGGCAGTTTCAGAAGCTGCCCTTGTGGTTCCTGGCCCAGCCCCACTTCCTCCGAGAGTGAGTCAACCGAAGCTTTCCTGGGCTGCCTGCGACGGTAAGTCCAGGAGTCCCCAGCAGCCCAGGTTCTCGCTCAGGCCCAGGCTGCAGCAGACTTGGCAGGGCCACTTGTTTGCTTGTGGCTGACGGCCCCGGGGGAGCTGCCTGCAGACAGAGGTCGGGACAGCTTTACTCCTTAGTGTAAAATGCAAAACTCCCAGATAGAACCCCAAACACTCTCCCCTTCCCTGCAGTCCAGAACAAGGCAGAACGTCTGAGTGTCTGTGGTGCTTCCCGTCCCCTGGCCGCAACGGTGCAGAGCAGGAGCCCGATGGTGGGGCTGGTGCTTCGGATGGGCAAGAAGAGCAGGTGGAAGCAAGATGCTTCACCTCTTCCTGGGACCGGTGGGTGGGTGGTGCCCACAGCACAGTTGGGGACCCCAGGCGGGGCCTGCAGCTCCCCACCTCCGTGCAGGGAAGAAGTCCCCAGCCATGCATAGCTGGTCTTTGGGCCGGGACAGGCGCGCTGTGGCTGCTGAGGGTCTGCAGATGTCTAGGTCCTGAGACGCCTCCTGCAGCAGGGACTAGTGGGGACATTTCTGAGACAACTGAGTTGATCCTGGGCCCTGGGCTCACATGGGGATATGGAAAGGGGAGGTGGGCAACACCAGAAGGGCCCCACTGAGCCTGGGCAGGGCAGGGCTGGGGCCAGGCTGGGCCCTCACATCACACAGAGTGCAGGCGGTAGCTGCAGCCGACGTGGTGCCAGCCAGTGACACTCCAAGCCTCAACTTCCCTTTCGACTCAGGAGAAACCACCACAGGCACTAGCTCCATGCCTCCTCGGGGTCTCGTTTATAGTAACGGGGGGCCAGTGGCATGCCAGCAAGGCCCAGTGGGCATCACCTCTGAGGCCCAGGGAGACAGGAATAGGGTTAGGGGAGGGGGCTTGGAGCCAGCCTTCAGGCCTCTCCCTCAGGGCTCTGGGCCTAGCAGCAAGTATCCGACACCAGGGCTCTGCGTCCAGTGCTGTTCTCAGGAGTGCCCAGTCCCGGCCATCTGTTTTGCCCCAACATCACGCTGGGATCCAGCCCCCTCAAAGTCTCTTCTGTACGAGTCCTGGATTCCCTAGGGTCTGGTCTGGAGGTGGCTAAGTGGGGGACGCAAGCAGAGACCGCCAGAATCCCTCTTCAGGCCAGGTGAGCCTCTCCCCCTGAGCCTCGTGCCACCGATGCTGCCCTGGCCTCCAGAGGGCGCCCGGCTGCCCTCCCAGCCCCAGCCCAGGCCTCACTTCCCAGAGGTGGCTGTGGGCAGGGGGTCCTCCTTCCCTTCCTCCTCCACCGAGAACATGACATCCCCGCAGCCGCCCAGAGGCGGTTCTGTCTCCTGCTCTGGGTAGTGGGGGGCATGGTCCACCTCCAGCTCCTCCTCGAACTCGGGCCCTGCTGGCCCCGCCAGGCCCCGGCCCTCAGGCAACTCAGCCTTCACGGTCCCCACGATCACGGTGTCAGCCTTCATGATGTAGATTTTCTCTGCAAGGCAAGAAGAGGGGTGAGTGGGGAGACCAGAGCCCCAGGAGCGGGGAGCAAGGAGAAGAGGGCAGAGAGGCCTCTTCTGAAAGGCAGAGAGCCCGTTTCACAAATAAGCGCCCAGAGAGGTTCCATGAGCCGTCCAAGGTCACCAGGTCGGCAGGGAAATCCCGAAAGAAACGCCCACTGCCTGAGTGCCCTGTCTGTTACCATCCATGGCCAGCAGAAACCTGGGTGACCAACTTGTCCCAGTCTTCCCAGGATGTTCTTGTTTTAGGACTGGAAGCCCCATGTCCCGTCTACAGCCATACTACCCTGAGCGCGACCGATCTCGTCTGAAAGTCCCATGTCCTGGCAGCCCCTCAGCCCTGGCAAACCCAGCCAGTTGGTCACATCGCACAGAAACTTCAGTGCCTTGATAAGCAGCAGCCGCTGGTGATTCAGCCCTGCACAGGCACGTGTGACGGGGTCCACGGCCTAGCGCCCGCCCACATTTGCAGCCCGCACAGCTGTGCCACAAGCACAAGGCAGGTGCTGGGCAGGTCTCACGTGGGCGGATGGCCGAGTCCAGACCGTGAAAGGCACGATCCCTGTGGTCCTCTGCAGGGTCTGATGCAGAGGCTGCCAGTGTGGCTCTTAGGTAGAGAGGGAAACGGAGGCCTGAGACGCTGGGGACTGTGCCCAGCTGACAGCCCCGGGGTCAGGGCAGGGCTGTCTCCAACTGCTGCCCTGAACCCTGGAGACCAAATGGGGAAGCTTGAGAGGGAACTTGAGAGCCCGGGCAGAGGCCCAGGGATCCCTGCCTCTCTGGGTAACCCAGTAATACCCCTTGGATTCAGGAACCCCAAAGACATTCTGGGGGCCCCTGTACCCTCAACCCCGTTGCATAGTGTTGGCTCTTCTGTTTTGGTTTTGAGCATCCCCAGGAAAGACAGAAGTGTTCGAAATAGCAGCAAGGAGTCGAGGGAAGGCTGAGAGAGGAGTGGGCGCATCCCCAGACCTAAGGCAGACAGCAGGACCTGTCTCTCCACTCCACCACCAAGGCCTGCAGGCCCCAGCCCTAGGAACCCTGGCCAGAGGGGCTGGGCAAAAGATGCGGGCCAGGGATGGTGAGAGAGAAGAAACCCTAGAGGCAAGGGAAGGTTCAGAGGTGGGTAGGAGATGAGAGGCGGGGGGGGCAAGGTGTGAGGGAAGTGGGGGTGGGCTTGTTTAGGCAAAAGCAGCCAAAGCTGGAGACCAGGCTGTAGCCCACTCACACTCCATGGGTCTGATACCTCTGGCTCTGCCCCATCACAGGGCTGCCCACGCCCTAGCTAGAAACTTCCAAGGGCTGCTGAGACTTCCTGTTCCACCCAGAGCTTCAGAGTCCAGGGAATGTGTCTTGGTCGGGTAGGGGGTGTTGGGGGGGTGCTGCCCCTGCCTGGTACCCAGGGAGAGAGGGATGGAGCTCAGGCCCGAGGGTGTCCCGCTCGGGAACTGCACCAGAAGGGAGGCTGCTCCCTGGGGTAGATCAGGAGGACGAGGGGGTCACCTGTGTCTTGGGTGCCTGAGAGAACCTCCAAGGCTTTTCCACCCCATCCTGCTCACCAGCAAGGTACAGGCTGCTCTGGGAAGGCTGGCCACACCTGAGCCAGCAGCCCAGGAGTCTGGTACCTCCTCCCCCACCCTAAACACTCCGAGCCCCACCCATGGGATTCCAGGCACTGCTCAGCAAGGGCTCAAGTGGCCCAGCTTGGACTTCCTAGGAACTGTGGAGGAGAACTTTGGCAATATTTCCCCAAACACATACTTTTCCTTCTTTTTTTTTTCCAGAGTCTCACCCTGTCGCCCAGGCTGGAGGGCAGTGGCACACTCATGACCACCGCAGCCTTGACCTGCTGGGCTCAGGCGATCCTTCCACCTCAGCCTTCCATGGAGCCAGAACTACAGGCGTGCGCTGCCATGCCCGGCTAATTTTTTGATTTATTGTAGAGACGAGTTCTCGCCAAGTTGCCCAGGCTGTTCTCAAACCCATGGGCTCAGGCAATCCTCTCACCTTGGCCTCCCAAAGTGCTGGGATTACAGGCTTGAGCCACCGCGCCCAGCCAACACATACTTTTCAAATGAAACTCCCTGAAAATTACAACTGCAAAAGTTTCAGTTTGTTACAAAAGACTGTTCCCCACCCACCAAAAAAATACAAAAGACTGTCCTGAAAAGTTCCCACCAGCAGCTTCTGCCATGGAAACGCACAGGACAACTAAAGAGGCCACTCCAGTACCACCCGAGTACCAGCTACCCTTCCAGAGAAGACAGAGATGGAGCCCACCAAGTCCCTGCCCCAGGAGCTCATCTGGGGGAGTGGGGGAAAAGCTATTAACACAGTCACATTGCTGGGTGCTAAGGATGCTAGGTAGGGGAAGCCCGGGGTCTCAGAGAGCATGGATCTGGCCTCTACAGGCGTGTGGAGAGGGCAGGGAAGCCTTCCTGGAGAAGGAGGCAAATAAGTAGGGTTGCCCAGACATCAGGAACTAACTAGGGAGTGGAGGGAGTGGAGTTGGCTGTTCCAAGTGCAGAAGCAGCTCCCCAGAGATGCTTAGAAGTGAGAGAGGGATCCATACATTCAGGAGACTACCATTGGCAGGGAGGAACAGACTAGGGTCAGAAGGCAGGTCAGGCTGGTGGGGAGCCAGCCCGTGCCCAGCCTTGGATGTCGGAATGAGAATGCTAATGCTGGAAGCGATTCGGCAGGGTGTACTATGGACAGGTATATATTTGGGAGACAATGCTCCGATGTACCAGGTGGAGGGAAGCAAGAGAGGAGGCAGGGAGGCCTGGGGGAGGCCAAAGCAGACATCGGCCCGAGCCGGGGGCAGCTGCCATTGGGAAGTGCTGGGCAACGGGCCCCATCTGGCCTCTGTGCCTCTGCAGAGGCCGGGTGGTGGTGGCGAGACAGACCAAGGGCCCAGAGCCCAGCAGCGGTGGGGGTGAGTGTCAGCTGTGCCACTTGGCAGTCGCGTGACGAGAAAGTCGTTTCACCCCTGGAGCCGCAGTTTCCCCAATTGCAAAATAGGAGAAAGACACCCTCCTCAAAGGCAGCGTGACAATCAGAGATGACGAGATGGTGTCTGCACAGTGCCCGGGATGCCCCGACAAGTGGCAGTCCCACAGTCACGGGCATGTCTTCCTCCTCTTCCCACAGGTGCCCTGTGCCAGGGGCTGGGGTGGCCTGCACCCTTTGCTTGAATAACAGGAGTCCTGCCCTGGCTCCTCATGCACCGGCCCCACGTGGCACTACTTCCTGAATCCTCACCACGACTCCCACATAGACACCTGCTGCCCCCATTCACAAAAACTGGGGGGAGAGGGAGGGGCAGCTCCATGGAGGGGCCCCGCCTCACCCTTGCTGGGCCTCCTCCCCCAGGGTCTCCAGTTCTTCCAGGGCCCAGGGCTCGGCACCCGCCTCCCATCTGCCCCGGGGTCCTGGGGAAGCCGACTCACCGATCCTGTTATTGGTGCGTTCCGTGGACACCTGGGACTCGGGAGAGTCCCTGGGGGACGAGCGGCCCCCGGCCGGGCTGGTGTCCAGCAGCGGCAGGCTCTCTGGGCAGGTGGCCCCCACATGGACACAGGTCTCCAGGGGTGGGGGGCTTAGCCCCAGCTCTTTTGCGTCTGGTTCTGCCCCCGATCCGCTCCTCCTCAGCTGCCATGGAAGGAAAATGGGTGCTGATGCAGGGTGTCCCCAGCCACCCCCAATCTCCGAACCGGGGGTCCTCCATTCTCCATCTCTGGAGGCCCTCGTGGGTCTCCCTGCTTTAAAGCTGCCACGATCTGCCCCGGGCGTCTCATCTTGATAGCCTGACACACCTGGGTGTAGCATGTCGGGGGAAGGCTGTTGTTTTTCCTTAGTACTAAATAATAAAGATAATGGCCAGTGTGTGGCCCTGTCCTAGTTCCTGACATACATGAATCCTTACATCTACCCACGAGGTGAGTGATAACGGCACTCTCCCCTTTTACTGGCAAGAAAACTGAGGTACAGGAGCCAAGTTACTTGTCCAGGGTTATACCACTCGTAAGTAGCTGAGCCAGGATGGGAGCCCTGGCACCCTGCTCCACAATCCAGGCTCAAAAGCAGCAAATTTGTGTCAGCTCCAGGCCCACTATCTCCTGGAGCATGCCCCCAGCCCGCCAGCTCCGACATCCTGGGCAGTCTGTTACGACAGCTCTCATGTGTTTTAAAAATAGCCGTGTCTTAGAAAAGTGTTGGTTTGGTTTTTGACCCTGACAGGTAAGCGTAGAAGAGAAGTGATCTCAGAAAATGCCCTGATGTATGACACTTACCTTCAGTCTTCAAACCAGAACAATTGTGCATAACTCAGAGTGCATCTGCATAATCTTGAATTTTTTTTTTTTTTGAGTCAGAGTCTCACTCTGTTGCCCAGGCTGGAGTGCGGTGGCTCGATCACGGCTACTGCAACCTCGACCTGCTGGGCTCAGGTGATCCTTCTGGCTCAGCCTTCCAAGTAGCTGGAACTACAGACATGTGCCACCACTCCTGGCTAATTTTCTGATTTATTGTAGAGACAAGGTCTCGCCAAGTTGCTCAGGTTGGTCCTGAGCTCCTTTCGCCTCCACCTCCCAAAATGCTGGGATTACAGGCGTAAACCACTGTACCTCGCCTTGAATATTCTTTTTGTAATAATTTGAAGGCCAGAAGATGGCATTTTATTTGTAGTTTAGTTCAGTGTTTTTTGTTTTTTGGTTTTTTTTGAGACAAGATCTGTCACACAGGCCGAAGTGCAGTGGTGCAATCATAGCTCACTTCAATCTCAACCTCCTAGGCTCAAGCAATCCTCCTGTCTCAGCCTTTATGGTTGCTAAGACTTGCAGGCATGTGCCACACCATGCCTGGCTAATTTTTTTTTTTT